TCTAAATACAATCAGACTTTATTTAGTTTTACCCTAGATCACTCCTGGATTCAGCCAAAGGCAAAAGAAAACAAATAAGTATAGGAAAACATGTTTTTGTTTTTTTTTAAAGTAATGAGATTTTTTTAAAAACTAGCTGACTTTACTAAGGGCAGCAACTTATTCTTTTCTTCTATTTTTCTTACTTTACAACAAACATCAAAGACCTTCAATATGGGGGCATAGATTTACATTTATTATCCAGTCTCAGTCTCTGCGTTTTTGTACACCAAGTAGCACACCTCTTAGCCAGGAGCCATTTTGCTTTTAGAGCCAACAAAAAAAACAGAACAAAAAATCTCCAACTAACTGCCAAAATCAATTTAAAAGATGATTCCTGGGGGGCTAGCCCGGTGCTGCAGCAGTTAAGTTCGTGCACTCTGCTTCGGCGGGCCAGGGTTCGCAGGTTCGGATCCTGGGCATGGACCAACACAGTGCTTGTCAAGCCATGCCGTGGTGGCGTCCCATATAAAGTAGAGGAAGATGGGCACAGATGTCAGCCTAGGGCTCTTTCTCCCCCCAAAAAGAGGACTGGCAATGGATGTTAACTTAGGGCTAATCTTCCTCACACACACACACACAAAATGATTCCCAACCACAAATTCTAGGTTTTCTTATATTTAGGAAGCATGTTTACTAAATGCTCATTATGTATATATCAGGTTTTTTTTTTATAATTTTATTTTTCTTCCCCCAAAGCCCCAGTAGATAGTTCTATGTCATAGCTGCACATCCTTCTAGTTGCTGTATGTGGGACGCAGCCTCAGCATGGCCAGAGAAGCGGTGTGTCGGTGGGCGCCCAGGATCCGAACCCAGGCAGCCAGCAGCGGAACGCACACACTTCACTGCTAAGCCACAGGTCTGGCCCGATATGTCAGGTTCTAAATACTCTCCAAGTACTTGCTCCAAGCACCGCAATCTTCCACAGGACAAATCAAAACAGAGACTGAATGAACAAATGGAAGATGGATTCCAAAACTTATGTTTAACCATTCTACTATCCAACACATTAACTATTTTATTCCCATATTCATTAAAAACGGTTTAGAGTCATTTGTTTAGGGGCTTCAAGGTTTTAGTCTAAAATTAGATCTTTTCCACTTATATTCATGAGTTCTTATTCCTATAGAGCAACCTCATCTACAATTCCCAGTTCTATCAGCTACTATCTTTACCTATTTAAAGGTAGTTACAAATACGGACTGGGGTAAGGCTAGGGAAAACTCTATTGTGTTGGATTAACTTTGAAGTATTCAGTTTGGAATATACTTCCTAAGTACGTCACCTGAAAAGACCTAGAAACAAGGACATCCCAGAACAAGCACACCCTGCAGCTAGACATGGTTCCTAAGTACCAAATATATTCTCCATTAAAAGGGATCCCCGGAGAAATAGCCAATTTCAGGGCTGGGACAAAAAAAGTCGACAAGGAGCCCAGAAAATCTTTTTGAGCTATGAAGTAGATAAGTGCTCAAATGATGCAGGACACGCTAAAAGCTCACAGGAACCAGCTTTAAAAGGATACCACTGATCAAATCTTTGGCAATTTAAGCATCAAAATGAATCGTGTTAGTTGCATAGTTAAGATTTCCGGATTTTGATTAACTGTAATGCAATTCTATGTCTTTGTATTGAGAAAATACAGTATTTGGGGGGTAAAAGGGCATGTCTGCTCTTCGTCAACTATGTCAAATGGTTTAGAAAAAAGTGTGTATGTATGCATAAGAACATAGAGCTATGTAGCAAAATCAATAAATGGGGATTTGAGTAAATAAACAGGAATTCTTTCAACTACTGTAATTTCAGACAGACAAAAGTTGCAATATCAATACAGCCTCCCCCACAAAAACCAATGGAACTTGACTTTAAGAAGATTCATTGCCCATAACTTTGAACCCATTATTTAAAAAAAACTGCACCCCTTACTTGGACAGGCTAGCCTACTTTAGACCTAGCCTCTAACTCAAATGTTCTTACCTTCAAATGGCTGACTCTTAATCTATCACGTCTTCGTGAAAAGGCCATCCTCACTTTAAACACTCTAAAAAGGTGGTTTTCAGTATTTTAAATCCTTTAAAAGGACTTCTATGGCTAAGTCTTCCATGGCTTGACCCTTGTATTTCCACCCATTCTTCAACGCCTTGAATGTGCCCTGGATTGTCCTACTTAACAACTCTCATGGTTTATTTCCTCCAGTACCTTCCCCTGAACTTCTCTCTGCTTAGAGGCTCCATCCCTCACTACACAAATTCATACTCATCCTTGAAATTCCAGCTAAAAGCTCTAAGTTTTGAGTATTCTGGCAGAAACTAGTTTACCACTCCATGAAGTTTATCAGAGTCACAATTGCCCAACTTCATTATGAATGATCAAACTGCAAATATTAATACACCATTACCTCTTGATCAGAGATCTGTCAACTTCTGGCACTTGAATTTTTGATCACTTATCCCCAGTTCCTTTTTCTTGTTTTTAAGAAGTTTAAAATACATGAACTAAAAAATACTGCTTTTGGGCGGGCCCGGGGGCTTAGCGGTTAAGTGCTCGCGCTCCGCTGCTGGCAGCCCGGGTTCGGAACCCCGGGCGCGCACCGACGCACCGCTTCTCTGGCCATGCTGAGGCCGCGTCCCACATACACAACTAGAAGGATGTGCAGCTGTGACATACAACTATCTACTGGGGCTTTGGGGGGAAAATAAATAAATAAATAAATAAAATCTTAAAAAAAAAAAAAAAGTACTGCTTTTATTTTAAGCAACATTTTATCCTGAGTTTCAAAATAATAAAACTCAAAACAAGAGATCTACCAAAGCTACAAACTCAATTTCCAATATGAAAATTAAGTAACTAGACTGACTTATTTCCTGCTGGCAATTTATTATTTCTAAATTGTTATGCTCCATTTCTCATTTATTTTATACTTAAGAAAATCAGGTAATACTTTAATTTTTTTAACTGAAAAACCTAAAAGTACAGTATAACATCAAATGGAATAAACACAAGATACAAAGTATACTGTAATATAATTAACTGAATACATCAATTAAAATTTCTCATGGATAAACACTTATCCTTAAGTAAAATAACTTCACACTCCAATAAAGATGTTTCCATTTCTCTGAAATCATGTAAGTGATCTTTAATTAGTCCAAGGACTTGGCTTTTAATCTAAGTTATATCTTAATACCTGGATTTTTAAACTAGTATACAAAATCACTATTATATATCTATGTTAATCTTAGTTAATTTCACTGTTATCATTTACATTTACTTTTCAGTTATTAGAGACTTAGTGCTTTAAGCAGCAAGTTATCTAAATTATGAACACATTCTCAAACAAAATCCAGTTCACAATTACCAAGTATATATACAATGCAGAAGATTGAAGATAAAATGAATTAGCATATCATTTCTCTTTCCTAAGGTTCCTATGAAGAATGTGCTTCTTCTAAACTATCCATTCGTTCTGTACATTTAAAATAACATTTGGCTTGATTTAAATAGTCAAAAATATAAAGGGTAAAATTTTTAATAAGACTAACCCATAAAAATGGACTCAAATTCTAAACCAAGCCCTGAAACCAAGCATTCAAAGGATATATTAATACTAAATAGTTTAATATTTTTGCATGGTACAATAAGGTTTTCACAAATAATTCAAAATTGTATTTTTAATAATGGGAATGTCCTACAACTCAAATAAACCCACAAATTCATACTGTCTTACAAACAGCAGTAATATACACAGTTAATTCAGTTATCTTAGGGGCCTTATCATATACCAATCAATATTCACAGAATCAACCTATTCACAGAATAATGAAAATATTTCTATCAAAGCTAATGTCTCCTTTTTGATTTGTTATTAAATGAGCTAAAAAAGAAAGAGGTAGAATCCCATTTTTCTTAATTACTATTCCATAAACCAATTCCACACAATGAAGATATTTTTATGTCACAGAAATACTAATACTGCTTCAGCAAACTAGATAAAAGAATTCTGAGAAATTACATAAACTTAACTTTCCCACATCCATGTTAAACTAAAAATGAGTCAATTTATGGAACTGTTGTTCTCTGCTTACTTACCATATTTGAATGACCATAAAATGACAGTCAGGAAAAAATTTTTTCAAAGTATTACTTTATAGGTGATCATATGGGATTTTACCATTTCTAGGGAGAAAAAATTAGAGAACTTCCTGGCAGGCAGCGCCTGGGCTAGAGAAACTATAAACTGAAAATGTAAAGACAAAATTCTACGTGTCTCAAAAATGTCTGTAGTTAACTCAAGAGTAAAATCTATAGAACTGTGGAATTCCTTTCTAGTCTTCCAATAACAAACTTCATTTAGTAGGGCTTGAGAGGGTGCTCGTAAAATTACACAAATTTACAGGCCATTGTGGCCTAAGCACAGAACAGCCTACTCTAAAACATCTCTACTCTCTGCTCTTCCAAAAAAGGTATATATATTTATATATTTTTTAAAAACCACCCAAAATATCACCAGTACATTTTACAAAATTAAATGCAAATTTTATTAAGGAATTCAAATTACATTATTTCAAATTTCTAGAATGGGATAGAACCATTTTGGAACTGGAGAGATGGCATAGATGAACACCGGTATCCCTTGAAACTCCAGCAATAATTATTAAGAAACCAATTCCTCTGCAAACCATATCCCCCTTATATAACAAGACAAAATAGTATCTACCCCTTTACTTTGGCAATAGCTATTTCCTAAAGAAATGAAAAAAAAAAAAGTGGTCTTGCTACTTCTTTAAGTTCATTAAAAATGGGATTCTATCTTTAGATTAAAAATATTTTAATTCAGAAAAAGCTTGTGTTCAGATGAAATATGGGTAACAAAAAGAAAATCAGCACAGAATGTCTAATCAAAGCAACTTCATTTTGAAAATAAAGAGGGAAAACATAAGGTGTTTTCATGGCATTTTTTCCCTACAAACTATTGCAATTGGTTAAGGATTTCCAGTAGTAAATTAAAATCTCAGGAGAGGAATGGATAGTACTATACAAATAACAAAATGTGTTCACATTCCAAAACCTTAACACTAAATTTTCAGAAGGGAAGCTCTATCACCTCTAAAAATGAACCCAATGTAATCTTATTAAGAGCAAGAACTCTGGGCTATCTACTAATTACAATCCAATTAGTCCACCTTCACTGTCAAAGCTTTTAAGCTCATCACAAAAAATTAACAGTAATTAGCCTGAGGTATTTTAAATGTGGCTCTACAGTCTCAAATTTAATGGCAATTTTCCCCCTAAAAATGGTCTTATTTCTACTTTAGTCTCATGATCTCTGTAGTATTTACTACAATATGGTCATAACTAAAACACCCAAAAACAATCCTTGGACCTTTTGGAATAGCTGCTCATCCATCCACTTCTATTAAAACAGGAGCCACACCAAGATCTGCGAGAATATTGCCTGACCAGATCCAGAACAGAGGTACTTACTTTGTTTTCCAGTTTAATTATCAAACCCTGGTACGAATAAAATGCTGAATATCATACTTGCAATACAAATAGGTCCAAATTTTTGAGCTTTTAATGAGACTGAGAAACATTTCATAAAATTTAACCAATATGCATTAACACATCTGTGAGGTAGTTAAGTAAACAGTTCTACCCATTTTAATACATAGTCAACAGAAGCATGGGTAAATGACACGCTCATACTTGCAGCAATAAGAACTGGAATTAAGCAGAGGCTTGGGGTCTTCTCTCTAGTTCTAACCAAAAGAAATGAAATTTAACTTTTTAATCTTTCTTTTTAAAAACATCACATCATTTAAGATTTTCTTTCTTATACTTTCTTATTAGTAGATGTAGTACCTCTTTCAAAGTTGGCACCCTTTTTATCAATAATATGGTGAACTGGGTACAATGCTTAATTCAAGCTAGGCCTCTGCTTCTACCTAAATTAGTAGAAAATTAAGACATTATCTTGTGAGAACTAAAATTATATTTGACATTTTTATTTTAGGCTGCAAAAACAAAAACAAGCAAACAAACAAACAAACAACAAAAAACTTCAAATAGGCTTGTCAAATGATGTAAATTCATCCTTTCCAGGGAAGCAGAAGGTAGACCCTACCACAAAGAAAAGATGCTTTGTTAATGGAGGTTAAATTTAAAAGTACAGTTAAAATAATGAGGCTTAATGTCTGAAAATACTAGGTTTTATTCACCTCCCTGTGGTAACCAATAACCACACTATGAGTTAGGTTTCTTTATAGTTAACTATGTCACCTAAAATACAAAAATCCAATAACAATCTAAGTTATTGGGTGTGGTCGTACTGGAAATTCTTAACCATACACTTGCCTTGACAAGTTTTGTTTTTTAAATGAAGAATTGTCTTAGTATAAGTCACTGCATTTCTATAACAAAGTAATGAAAGGCACAGCTGGTGCAAGCAAAAAAAAAAACGCCTTCAACTACTAGCTGAAAAAATACTCTGGTTCTTCAGGGAAAAAAACAGCAAAACAAAAAATCTCTTTCATTTAACAGTTCTGCTCCTTTTCCTAACTGTAATCGAAGAGTTACATGATAAAAATACTCCAGAAGAACCAAACTATGTAGCAACGAATGAACATGCATGAGAGAACTGGGGCATTCAACATATCTGACAGAAAAACTACAGTTAAAATGCTAGGTAGAACAAATTGGGTCTTTAAAATATCAGTTCCTTTCCTTTAAAAAAAATTACTGAGTCTATCAAGAAAATACAAAAACATAAGGCTGTAAGTAAATAATAGTTGTGTTTAGGCTATTACAGTGCAGGTTATCCTCAAGGCCACATACATCCTGCTTCACTGCTGCTTGCACTCTGCTGGGTTTTGATCCTTCTGTTAAAGGAAAACAACAAGTCAATCTATCTTTTTCTACCTCTATCAGTTAATTTTTCAATAGTAATTAACTATCTTAATTATATTATTTTACGGTTCTGTCAAAATTTTTGCCAAATTAAAGAAATGGTATAGCAATGACAGCAAATTCTTTATTCCAATATTGGCTAGTCACAATAATACTAAAATAAAGCCCAAATTTTAAATTGTAGAATGAACTCCATAAAATGAAACACACTAAGCCATCATCTTAAAAAATGAAATAACCAGGCAACTTATGTTAGTCATATTACCAATTATTTTTGCCTTTTTATAGATCAGTTATTCAAAAATACTAATTCCACTCATATTTAGCTGTTAAGAGTAATTCATACCTGTTAGAAAATTTAATTTGATTTTTAACTACCCTCTCTTACCTGCTCACTATGTTAAAGTTCTTCTGGATATTTTACAGCATTTAACAAAATGAGTATGCATTAAAGAGAAACCAGAAGTTTCAAATGAATCCTGATAATGTACTATGTCTTCTGTGAGAGACAAAGGCCTTTACTACCCTGATACGACCAATTCCCAGGAATAACAGACTGGGACTCTCAGAGATGGGGAATAGAGGTGGTTGGGACAATCTAATAAACACTATTGCTCCCCTATTCCTGAGCACTCCTGCATTCAGATCATGTAAAAACTAATCTTTGTTTATAAGCTTTTCTTTGGAAGGAAAACCAGCTAACACAAGCAATACGTAATTTAAAATGCTTCTAAAAAGCTGTGTAAAAAAAAAAAAGCCCAAGATAACATGCCAATAAAATAGAATCCTAGGGTATACTAAGCCTGAAACTATGAAAAATACAAAGTCAAAACCAAAAATAAAAGTTTCTTAGGAAAGCTGCATTGAAATTACATGTACTGTTGAAATACCAGGGGGATTAAAATATATATTTAATGGACAAAAATAAACTTTACATTTAGAAACACCAATTCTTAATCTGACTTAAATTTAATAGAAAGTAGCACTAATTTTGCTCACCTTTGAGTCATAGTCTGGATCATTTTCCTCATCTCCTTCTTCTTCCCCTTCCTATATTAAAGTTCAAAATGCATCCATGAAGTAGGTACACAGTAGGAGGAAACGGCTCATAATGTAGGGAGAACTTAATACAAGTTACTCTATAGGTCAACAGATTTTCATTACAGAGTTTGGTGACCATGCAATTTAATTTGAAAGCTTCTAATAAGAAAAATTTCCCAACACAACTTGAGACATCCAGACAGCTTTTATTGAAAAGATTTACTGCAGCCAACGTTGAAAAAGTTTACTGCAGCTTTTGACTTCTTCAAAGAGCTGATAACCCTGCAGCAGAACAGAATTATTTGAAATAAAAAAAAAGTTCTGAGTTTTGCAATTTATTTATTGAAACCTTATACATACATTGTTTGGCTGTAGAATTCTAAAATCATATTTTTTTCCAAAAACGTTTTTATCCCATATCACAGAAAAATGATTATAGCAAAGGAATACATAAGTCATTCAATTTGCTTCCCAACGTGTTAGAGAATTATTTGCTCATTTGGTAAACATTACCTCATCCGCTTCTTCACCTTCTTCATCATACTAAAAAGGGAAAAGAGGATGAAGTTTGAATGAAGCTAACAAATATCTGAGAACAGCATTAGTTACATCCATCATTGTTTCCACTAATATCTAAAAACAGGAAAAATACTTTCCCTGAGATGACTGTTTAACAATTAAGGATAACAGCTGCAGGAATCACTCACCTCAGTGCCGTTATCTAAATCTGACAATTTAAAAAATTAAAATAAAGAACAGTACAATCACGAATAAAGTGTCTTCCTATTAGCAGGAAAATAAAAACTACGATAAATGAACCCAAAGATCCTAAGAGGACTTATTTAAAATTAGCCTAATTTTGAATTATTCTATCTTGCTTTTTAAAAATTACATCTCTTGATTAAACCTCTCACCAAGTCTAACTATCATACCCTCACCAAATGATCTACAGCAGGACTCAGACTCACTCACATCGTCATCATCATCTTCAATAGCTTCTCCAGTAAAGTATAACACTGATCTTGGGATTATACGCTCTCGTAAGAAGTGACCAATTTCAAAGTCTGCAGCAAGAATAGCTTCAGCATCATCATCCTGTTTAAGAAAAACAAAATGACAAAATTTAATAGCTTTACTATTTAATACGGCATATACGAGACTCTTAGGTTTAAATCATATGAAAAGTAAACTCTCAACTTTGCTTTTAACTTTCTGTCATTTTTAAATTATCTTACATGTGTGATCAAATAGTCATCTACATATGCCCTAGGTTTACAGGTTTTTAATAAATAGAAAATAATTTAGCAGGCCAGGGTATATACTCAAAGAAACTTTGGGAAATAGAAGTGGTTATTGCTTACTTTTTTCTGGCTTAAACGTAAGATAAAAAAGCAACTTAGTTATATGACTGCTATTTTCCCTTATATTAATTATTGAAAACACCAAATGGAATAAATACTAAGAATCTCAGGCTTTCATAAATAATATCAAGTATATGGCACATAATAAAAGACCACAGAGGATCACTTCATAATTCCTAAAAGACAGTACCTAAGCAGCTGCAGAATGCCAAATGAGGAGATACAGTCTTACTTGAATAAAGACTAAGTCAATCAAGATTTCTATTTAATGGCAAAGCACAGCAAAGAAATGGTGCTGACACTATTCAAAATGAAAATGATCCCATTTAAGTCCTATGATACTAAACAATGAGTAAAACATTCTGTGAATTCCATGAGTGTGTATTTTGATTCATCAACATAACCCACTCTAATAAAACAACAACAAACACAAAAAGGGGGAGGGGCAGACTCTGAAGGAAAGAATTCTAATCAGAGGTGCAGGTGTTCTTTTCCTAACTACCAAAGATTGTTTTTTTGTTACCATCAATATTTAGTAGTCTTAAGAAAAAAAAAAAAAAAGAACACAAACTCCACCCCATTCGCTGACATGAAAACAGTGTGAAACTCTTATCTTAATGCTCCTAAAGTAGTTTTTTTTTTTTTTTCTGGTGAGGAAGATTGGCCGTGAGCTAACATCTTTGCCAATCTTCCTCTATTTTGTATGTGGGATGCTGCCACAGCATCGCCTGATGAGCAGTGTGTAGGTCCGCACCTGAGACACGAACTTGCGACCCCAGGCTACCAAAGCAGAGCACGCAAACTTAACCACTATGCCACTGGGCCAGCGCCCTAAAGTAGTTCTTTTTACCTAAACTTCACATGTTGCTTTACATTCCCCATTTCTGTCCTATAAAAAACATTTTGAGCCAAGCCAGTTATTACTTTTTTCAGGCCAAAATACTACCTGCCTTCGGTAGATCTGGTCTAAGCCTCAGCCAAAACTATTCCAAGTCAAAAGTTTTCAAATACATATAACTTCTAATTCCATATGTGTGTAAAACTATTTAAACTACCTCAGTTAATTTAATTCAAAAACCTGGCCAAAGAAAACCAAATTCAAAACATACCTAACTTACCCTGCCTGTATAGACTTTTTTCAGGTTGTTTCTCATTCCAGGCTGTATGCCAGGCACATTTCATAGTTCTTGGCTATACAGCCACACACATGAAACCATATTTCCATTGGAATAATAAACACAGAAAGAGTTCTAACCAGAACGTGGTTAGAAGGAGTTTAGTAAATAGCATAAATTACTTAATACCAAAAAAATTCCAGTTTCAACAAGGAAGAAAACTATATATATAGAATTATATATAACTATATATATATATGTTCACTATATATATAGTCTTGAAACACTGAATTCCTCACAGCAATATTTGCAAGTCTTAAGAGAAAAGAAAATCTTTAGCCTTTCAGCATTTCTCAGCAGAAGCACTATAAGCATTTTGAATGGAACAGTTTTTCAAATGCATAAAGGTCTTTCCCATGCAGTGCAAGCCTCAAAACAAAATAGCCACTATCCCACTCCCTGCTTTTGAGAACCAGTCCTTTAATTTCATATACAGTAAACAATTCAACAAATAAACAATTCAGCTTACCAGATCTCCACTCTCAGGAACTGCAAAATTGAGAAGAGAAATTCAAATGAATAAAAAATTAAAGCTTATAATAAAACAATCAACACCCAAATTAAAACATTATTTACCTTCAGGAGGGGCAAAAAAATTAAAGAAAGAGTCATTGGAAACTGTTTTGGTCACAGTACGAACTGTCCCACGTCCCTTGTGTTTCTGCTTCTTCTTAATGGTTTTCAAAGTGACATTCTTTCCTTTTTTCCAATCTATGTGGCACCTTCCAAAAACAAAGAAAAAAAATCATCTATCCCAATTAACACATTACTTTCAATAGCTAGGAGAGCTAAGATTTTTCTAAGAAGATATTATATTTCTTAGATGTTATTATAGATGTTGTTATTAGATGTTATATTTCAAATTTTAGAGGAAAATTTGGTTCAAATGCTTTCTGTAGCAGAATAAATAAGAAAAATTCTATTTCAAAACAAACTTTTTTCAATAAATGTATTTACAATTAATTACCACAAACTCACAATATAATAGATTTAAATGTGCACTCCTTTGGAGAAATATCTGTAATGGTCTATGGGCCAAGGAGAATTTTAGGAAAATGGATAAGCTCTTCTCAGAAAACATTTTACTGAAATGTTTGGAGATAAACGTTATGTACGTATGTATGAAGGACATACACTAGGAAATACCAAATATCAAAAATCATTAAGCAAAAGAAAAACAGATATAACATTCTGTTAAAGTAGTAAAATTAAACTCACCCTGTACAACCCATAATTTCTGGTCCATCAAAAGAAAAGGGATCAGAATCATCTGGCTCTGACCTCATCCTATATGTCTTTGTCAGCACTTCATTTGTGAAATATTCATTGGGTTCAAAGTGAAATTCTAAGACAAAACTCTAAAAAAAAAAGGGAATAAAAACTAATTAAGTTCCTACATAATAAATTTCAATGCTTTAGTAAATAAAGGTTAATCTGTGATTTTTATAAACATATAAAAAATTCTAAGTAATAATGTTTTTCCTACTCTGGGAAGGAGTCTAAAAGCAAAATGAGGCACAAAATAAACTGAATAAAATTTAGTTTAGCTTATACTACTCTTTAGTAACGTGTTAACGAAATAGGTTAGGTACACCTAAATCAACTGACCAAGTCCCCCTTCCTCCCTCCATCCTCACAAAGAGGACTTTAAATCTTAGACTAGACCCTGAGCTTGACAGAGAAAAAGCCCAACCTTATTACATGCAATGTAAGAATCTACTGCCTACAGCTTTGTCCATACTTTAAGTAATATTGGTGGTTTTGGGGAGAAGCTGTTATCTGATATTTCATAATGGTTAAGTGGGGGCCCTCTGAAGTCTTCTGTTTTATGTAATTCCCAGACACATGCCTTTTAATACAGAATAAGCCTTTTCTTATTCATGTTCCCTTGCTATTATTTTTTATCCATTTTTAATCCAGGATCAAAGAGTCACCACTATATTTTGAAACTAGTTTATGTTCAGAGGGAGGAAAAGTTATACTGCATCACAACTATCAACAGCCAAACATTTATTTCCTACCAACAATTAGGAGTACCAAGTATCAGTTTTAATTTCTTTTTACCCCCATCTCTAACCCTTGAATGTCACCTATTTTTAGAAAGTTCCACTTATCTGTAAACATCTAATGTTACAAAATTCAAAATATTTCAGAGTTCTTTTACCATAGGTTGGCCAGCATCTGAGAACTTCACTTTAATGTCTTTCAAGTGCTTCAGAATAGGTTCATCATGTTCCTTCAAATTAAAAAGAAAATTAAAATTAGTATCTAACATAGCATTTTAAGATTAGTGCTCTATTACTGGACAATAAACACTTAACTGACTGAGACATTTTACAGTGAAGTTTTATGTAACAATTATGAACCATAAGACTTACTTCATCATATAGACTGAATAGGCTGAAAAGTACAAAACCAAGTCTAAACAAGGTATGTCTGCTTTAAAAATGTTTTCCAAATATAATGCTGCCTTTTCCTAGCTGCTTCTTGTTCCTCTCCTTCTGACTGATCCTTTCCTACTTTGCTAAACAGAAAGGCAATAAGCAGTCATCGTTTTGAGATCATTTCTTTTTCTTGATGTTAACTTCCAATAATCACAATATAAGGCAACAAGTAATACAATGCAGATGGTAGTAGCTCAACCAACACTTCTGATTAGGAGAGGCAGTTTCCCAGGGAAGGTGACATCTCTGTTGTCTCCCAGAGAAAGTGACAATAGTAAGAGTTACAGATCTTTATATTATTCTTTTAACATGCAAATATCCCTTGGAACAGTTGTTTCAGACTAAAATGGTCTTTTGGGTAAGACAATTGAAACTATAAGTCTCTCCCCCCCACCTCCATACTAAGCCATCTGAAGACAGAAGGCACAGGGCTATGAGCAAGCATCAGACCAAGATGAGCAATTGTCAAACGGACAATTTCTTTATCTAATTTTTGAAAACGAAGCATAATTTATTTAATTACATTAATCAAAGCTGCAATTTGCCTTCTACAGATAACAACTGTTTCAAAAGAAAGCAATCGTTCTATAAAGGTCAACAATGAAAAGACTAGTAGTCATCACAGCCATTTAAATTTCACAGGTTTACCCTTGAGGTAAACTGGTGTTTTTACGAATAAAATTACCTGAACCATATCACTGAGCAAGTCAACATTCTTAAAAACAGTCAACCAAAATTCAGGAATTCCCTTGGGGTCTTCTTTTTCTTCATCCTTTTTCTCATCTTCAATCTTGGCCTTTTCTTTCAGCTCCTCCTTGATAAATCACAGCATACATCATTGAATACCTAGATTAACCTCTTAATAACATCTTACATCCCCTTAACTTACAAGCAGAAATATAGAAATCAACCAACCCTCAATCACTAATTATAACTTTCAGCCAAAAAAAAGTTCTAGTCCAACTGTGTAAGCACTGCTGTTACACACCAAACCTACTTCTCTATAAACACTGCTACTACCATACCCTCCAAAAGATAACCACGAGGACCATGAGCTGCAGGTAAAACAGTTTTAGGGAAAAAAAACTTCAAACTTCACGAAAAATAAAGACTTTTAAGGATAATAAACAGGAAAAGCAAAAGAAATTTAAACCTTGTCCAATGCTTCACCCCTTCATGTTCTCAATCAAAATATTACATTCCTTTAATCAACCAACAATAAAATGCTGGAGAAACAGGGTCATGTAACAGAGCACTGGATTTGTGTCACAACTCTGCCATTTATTAGTTGTGGGCAAGTCACTTAGAAGCCTGCATTTCTTCACTTGAAAAATCGTAACAATCCTTTGCACATCATCATGAAGTTCAAAGGAAAAGTTTATATGAATCTATAAACTTTAAGTACTATAAAAATGTAAGAAAAAAAGTGAATTTGGGTACAGATGGTGCTAGGTTGAAGAGTGGTGGCTCACCTGCACTCACTATCCATCTTACAATAAACAAAGTATCTCCAAGGTATAAAAACACACTAAATTAAAGTTGGTACCAACCGAAATTTCATCTTCCTCATCTGGTTTCCATTCACATTCTTCTTCCGTGGGTTCATAAATTGCATTAATAATCTCAAATCGCTAAAATGATTTAAAAAAAAAAAAAAGGTAGCATAAACACATTGGCATCCAAGCTAAAAACTAGCTGCTTCTCATTAAGGACTCATAGATTTAATTAATGCAAACCACAACTTGAATTGCTATTACTGATAGTTTTCCCAAATATCTCTAATAACCATTTTGCTCAGAATTCTGAAGAAAGTTTGTTCAAATTTCCAGAGCTTTATTATGTTCTCAAATTTTACATAAATAAAACAAAGTACGAGAAATCATTACCTTATCAAATAGAGGCTGATAGAGAACAGCATACTTTCTTTCAAGATCATGAACTTCCTCATAGAATTTGGCTTCTATCTGTGCACATTTAACTTGAAGGTTTTTGAGAGCATTCACTCGTCTTTTAACTACCCTAGGCAAGCTGAAAGATTAGAAAGCACCAGTTACATAGCGTCAGTGAAATGTGATGTTTCTTACACATCACACTTCTTTAATCATACTGAAACAGAAGCATAAAAGTTAGTGAATGATAGCTTTTCTATTTGAAGCAAAAGGTATACTCATTCAAAGTAATTAAAATTGAACAGATAGAAACACATGGACCTCTTAACTATAAAACATTTCAAAAGTGGAAATTTAACCAGGTATGGTAAATCAATAAGAAAATGTAAATTGTATCAACAACCCTAAATCTTTCATTGTAATCAAGTTTAGCATTAAACTTGTCAGTCAGTGTTGGCATCTCAGCTGTAAAATGTAGCTTTTAACATTTAAGATCAAGTTAAAAAGTCATGGAATGACCATCCTAACTCTAACAATGATAACCTGAAATTTTTAAAAATATGTATATTCCCCCTGTACCAGTTATTGTTAGGGGAAAAGAGGGGAGCAGATATCTACATTGGGAAAAAGAACAGTATCCTACACCATTGTTTTCCATTTTAGTCTCTGCATTTAATTTGAATTTGAAATTATACTAAATAAGAATGTAATATTTTATGGAGAGGGAACATGGATTTTTTCTTTAATAACAGCTTTATTGAGATATAATTCACATACTATACAACTCACTACAGGGCATAGGTTTTTTTTAAAAGGTTATATGTACACACCTAGTTTTTGGGCTCCTGGAAGAATGATTCAATTTACGAACCCCTCTACCACCCAAAAAATATTCACACTCAAAATTTACCTAACTTCAGGGAATCTGTGCAACAGATCCAGAATCCAGGTTAGAATTTCCTGCCATAGACAGACAGTTGTAAATCAAATAATTCTCTTACTTAACCATTAATTCAGTTAAGATAATCAGAAGTAAAAAACAAATACCTAAAGATATCAACTTTTTATTTCTTACAATTAAAAGCAAAAAGTTGAACGTTCTGTCAAGGCAGTGAACTAACATGGGCTGCTGGCATCCCCCCACTACTCCACATCTCAAAAAAAAAGAAAAATCAACCCTAGAAACTTTAAGAAGGAAACAACTATTTCAGGCACTCATAAACACACATACACACACACACACACACCATGAGCAACTTCTGAGTAAGACCGAAGGCTGTCTTTAACTCGTACAGGGTGAGCTGCAACCTGGAGCTGGAAGGGGTTGGCCAGAGTGGGTAGCAATGAGGACAGGTTGGAAAAAAACTTTTTTGCAAGAAAGCTTTTTAAGTTCTGTGCTTGCCTTGCCACACTCACTGCCTGTCCCCTTCCCCCTTCACAGAGCCCAATTAACACGAAGAGCTGATGAAAGCTGGACTGGCTCAGAGCACACAAGCACTCACGCCTCCATCCCCTCCAATCCAGGTACAATGGATCACAACCAAGAGAAACTGCCTCCTCCCAAAGCAGCAAAGAAAAACTGCCTGGAATTTTCAGCAAACCTTGAGTCTGAGGTCTCCTTAGGCTCCCCTTCTCCTTAAACTCCACGGAACTGTCAAAAAACCAGAGTCTGATCTTCATTCCTCCCTCAATACTCATTATCCTCCCTCAGTACTCATTATCAGAGTAACTGATATCACCCAGTGTGCCTGAGCTCTAAGTCCAAAACCAGACACTTGAGAAGCACCATTTCTATGAAAGAATGAAATATTTATAATCTGAAGCAGTATTACTAGACAGACTAAGAATTTGAACAAATATGTATATATATTTAAAGAGATGAGGGAAGATACTAACAATATGAAACAAGCCCAAGAAATCTAAAACAAGGTGGGAATATTAAGTATGAAATACAGTAACTAAAATAACAAATAGGATAAACAAGATAAGTTCAACTGAAGAAAAAGTCCATGAGGTCGAAAAGCTCTCCAGAAAGGCACCAGAAAAGTCAGACAGAAAAGCTATGAGATATGGATGACAAATGTAGCAACAGCTGAAAAACAGAGAAGTGGCCATCTGAAGAAATGAAAATAAATTTCTCAGCATTAAAGCAATATCAAAATCCTTACTCTAACCCATAGACATGTTAATGAGACTTATGAATGTCAAAGTCAAAAGAAAATTCTAAAGGTGCTCAATGGAAAAAAAGCAAATAACCTACAAAGGAAAAGGACTCAGACTGACATTAGGCTTCAAAAGAAAACACTGTACACAAGAAATGATGTGAATTTTTTAAGATATTTAAGAACTTTGAACTGACAATTTTATGTCAAACTATTATTCAGACATGAAAGCAAAATAAAAATTGTATGAGGTATACCAGGCTTCAGTAAGTATGCCACAGATACTCATTATACTCATTAAAAATAATTTTTGAGGAAGTAAAAAAAAAAAAAACAAATCCAGTAGATGCTATATATAAGGTATGGGTGGGTCAAATATCTTGGTAAATTTTACTGATGCCTTGAAGGAAAAAACAGAGGACTAGAGGAATTATTGGTAAATTTAAGAAATCAACAGGGATAAATAAACTTATGTATTAGGTTATGAACCACTTTACCATAATAACAAAAAAGAGAATGTATTAACTTTAAAACCAGCAGAAGAAAACTTGATCTAGCCAACGGAAAGCAGGAAAGGAGAAAAAAAATAAAGTACAATAAATTAAAAAATAAGAAAAGATGGCAGCAATTAAGTCCAAAAAAACAGCACCACTTTCAAGAAATGTAGAATTTGAAATTACTAATAAGGAAGCAAACATTCACACTGGAGTAAGACACAAGGGTGGAAAAAGACATGCCAGGTAAATAACCAAAAGAAAGCTGGGGTAGCTACCTTACCATCAGACAAAACAATTTATGACACAATCCAAAACTGACAATTACAGGGAGAAACAGATCAATCAAGTGGAGATTTTTAACACAACTTTTCCAGAAACTGTTAGATTAAGCAGACAACCAATCAATAAGCAGAAATCAAGAGATGCTGAACAATACAATTAATAAGTTTGAGCTATTAATTTCAGCATATAGATCTTCACTGAGCCACAAAACATTACAAAAACAGATTAAGGCCATAAAAGATACAGATTAATTTTTTTTTAAATCAAATGAACTAAAGCATTCAATTAAAGAAAGAAGACTAGAGCAAACACAAATAAGAAGGAAATAACATTAAAGCCAGAAGAGCAGCAATAATAAACAATATGGAAACGAAAAATCAAAAAGCTGGTTCTAAAAGACATTAATAAGATTGAGACAACTGGTAAAACTAATTAAGATGCAAAATACAGACCAAAAGGGAAAATAATCACACATTTTTAAAACATGAATTACACACTAAACAATTTGAAACCCAGATAAAACTCACATATTTTAAAAGAATATAGAACTCCAAAATTGGCACAAGAGAACCTGAAGAAGTCAATTAGTATAAAAAAAGAAAAAAGAAAAATTCCCCAAAACCTCTAGTTGCCAAATACCAAAGGCCCAAGTCAATTTTTAGAACAGTTCTACCAACTGTTCAAGGAACAGTTAATTCCTATCTTATACAAGCTATTCCCGAAAACAGGGAAAAAAGTAAAAGCAGCACTGTTCATTTCATTAGGCAGCTGAAATCTTGACTCTAAAACCAGGGGATAGAATTACCATCCCCTGAAGGTTTCTTTATTATATATGCACACACAAGCTCATTTCACTAATGAATAGGGACTTAACTTATTAACTACCCAACTCAACAGTCTAACAATAATACAACGTGATTAAGTTTATTCCAGGAATGCAAGGCTAGTTTGATATCCAAATATATATTTCCAAGGATATATATGTACTTAACAGATTCAAAGAAAAAGTCAAAAGACCATCTGAATTGATACAGAAAAAAGGTCATAAAAAATCAGACACCAAATTTAATGGAGAGATCTTATATCCATTCCTGGTTAAGACTGGAAGTAAGAAAAAGATGCCCATTCTTAATGCTAATATTTAACATAGCACTGAAAGTCCTGACCAATGTTCTAAAGAAAGAAAAATAAACATGCAGTGTGGTGTAATGTAGAAGATTAGAGCTAAAACTGTCATTTGCAGATAAGATCTTGCTTATGGTAGAAAAAAATAGAACAAATTACGCAAGTTTAGCAAGATTTCTGGATATAAGATCAACTCAAAAAAAAAAATCAATAGCACTCCTCTCTACAACAACAGCAGCCAACGAAGATACAATAAAAAATAAGATACTGTTCAGAACAGCAACACAACTAAAGTATACAGGAATTAACCAAGAATATACTTTGACCAAAACTTCATAATAAAGGACACAGAATATGATCTGAATAAACAGAAGGATATGGATGAGACAACTTATTATTAAAAAGTTGTAATTCTCCACCATGTTTACATATTCAATGTAATTCCTATCAAAATTTCAGGTTTTTTGTTTGTTTTTGAGAGAACTCGGATAAACTTACTGTCAACCATACATGGGATAAAGGTCTACAGATGGTTAGGACAACCTTAACAGTGTGTTCTGTAGGGGGTCAGGGGTGGTTGAAGAAAGCAACTCACCTTGGCAGATATTAAGACATACTATAAATCCACAGTAAATAAGTGTGACAAAGGCAAAAGAACAGACAAAAAGACCAATGAAATAGAAGAGTGCTGCTCAGAGACAAACACAGGTGTTTATAAGAAACTGATATGCAATAAAGGTGGGGTAGGATAAATGGGGGAAGAATGAACTGTTTAGTGAAGTGTTATGAAAACTAGCTCACTAAAAAATAAACAGAAAAAAAGGAACTAGATGCCTATTTATACCAACTAAAAGGTGGACTCTAGAGGAGTTAAAGACCTAAAGATGAAAGGTAAAACTAGTCAATAGGAAATGGAGAAAGAACTAGGAAGAACTTCTTAACTTCAAAACAAACAATAAGGCAAAAATATAACGAACATAAAAATTAAGGATTTATGTTTAATGGAGGCTGCTATGGATAAAGTTAACAGAAATGACACAGATTATTTACAAAGCCTAAAATTGATAAGGGATTAACACCTAGAATACATAACTCCTGCAAAACAAGAAAAAGACAGTCAATTCCAATAGAAAAATGGGCAAAGGGTATAAATGAGCAACCTAAAAGGCTCACAATCATTATGAAGAGAAGCTCAAAACCCATTAGAAATCAGAAAATACAAATAAAACAAAATGAGCCTCTATCTCTTACACTGTTAAAAACAAAAGAACTATAAAGCTGAATGATTCCAACTGTTGGCAAGGATACAAGAATAAAGCAACCTTCATTCACTGGATACAGTCATTCTAGAAAGCAAGCTAGAAGTACTTAAGGCTTGCATACCCCATAACTAGCAATTCCATTGCTAAGTACATATCCCCCCAAAATTCTTACACAGTTCCTTAAAAGGATATGCACAAGGATGATGACTCCAATGGAATCTGATGAAGCTTGGAGGAAATCTAAGTGTCCATCAAAGAAAAAGGGTGTAATAAAACATGGCGGACACGCATCATGGACAACTAGGCAACATTAAAAAGCTACTGACTAGAGAGATACATATAGATAGCAACATGGATGATCCTAAAATCATAAAGCTATGTAAATTTGGGCTGCTATTAATGATTTCTATCACCAATGAAATTTTTAAAATCTTTATTTCTTCTAATTTTGTGCATTTCTAACAAACCTCTAAACAGATCTCAGAAACAGTTAAGATCAGTATACTTCCTGTGGAGATTAACAAAAATCAACTTTTTTAAAAGACCAACTCTAAATTGGTGGTACATAGCAAAATTTTAAACTCCCAATAACCCTTTACTAGATACTGACAGACATTAGCTTTCCCCTATTACTTAAATTAAGTCCCAGATGGTCTTAAAAATAGATACACCTGCAATGTTGATCATAGAAAGATAAATAAGGACTATGAAAAAGAAGAACTTGTACCTTTCAATGTATCCTGTTGGTGTTTCTACCAGACCATCAAGTCTTTCTTGAAGGGCTGCAAGAATCTGAGGATTTTGCATCATCTGAACAGTCAGCTGACGCGCTTTAAGAAAAAAAGGGGGGGCATCGAAAGAAGGATTTTATGAAAATGTATTACGTCAATTTAATAAGGACAATCCAATCATGAAGTTTTCCTAATCAGCCCTTAAATCACTGGTATGAGAAGAGGTGAGCAGCAAGCTAAGGAAAATTCACTCTAGGAAAAGCCAATGTGCAGGGAAAGTTCAGATTCCTAATGATCTCTAATGCACACCACTTCTCAAGGCCACTGCCACAACTACTATGAACAATATCCTTTCTCTTCTACTGTCTTGTGTTTTACCCACCTGCCATTTTGGGAAGCTCAAGGCTTCATCCAGATGCCTATCTATTACTCTTGATAATCCTTTGAAGGCAGACAACACATATCAGAAAACTGCAAATATAGTGACAGTTTCAAGCCTGGGAGAAAGATGGCAGAGTGGGTGACCTGAATATTTGTTTGACGCATGTATAATGTGCTTGTGTGTATGTGAATAGAGAAAGTTAATAGTTGAAATAGTCAAAGGCTGTAACTAATGCCAAACAAAATTTAGTTATTAATGGCATCTAAAAATTACACAATCCAAAAATAAGCTACATTTATGCAAAACAAATTATTTTGCTCTTATCTTCTTTATCAGACATCACACAAAATTGCCATTAACTTTCCCAATTATGTTTTTAAAGGTCAATTTACTTCTAATATTAATTTGATTATTGGATGATGTACAGTTGTGATAACCCACATGCTTTTAGAAATATCAATATCGGCCACTAAGGATACAGTCCTGTACCTTTTAAGAAAATGTTGCAAGACGAAAGCTGAGGCTAGAAATTCAGTAGTCGTTTCATAATTAACCTTATGCCGGCTTAAAAACGAAAAGTTGATTCATCTAGTACCTTAATATTCTTGGCCCATATCTACAGGGCATAACCAAAAGCAGTATAATCCCCTACCACCATCACTACCTTTTAAAATTATTTGCTAAAGAAAATTTTGAGTGATTTTGTCTACATTTAATAAATGTCTCTTTTGGTCTTTGGTTGGAATAGATTTAAAAAGCAGACATTTCTACATATTAAATACTCAACATTTTCAAATAAGTCTAAGCTAATCTTATTTGTTTAGAAGCACCACCAAAAACAACTCCCACCACCATCTGTAACATTTCTAAATTCAGACAAAACTCATGGAGAGCTGTTTGACACAGCTATACCATGTCACTCCAGCAGTAGAGGGTATACACAGTGACTTCTGATGGGTCACCATATCCATACCTTCCTCCCTTACTACCACTCCAACTCCATCTTCCCCTCCTTTCCTCCCTCCCTCCACCCCTTCACACACACACACACACACACACACACACACACACACACAGAAACTGTTATTAAACTGGAGGTATGGGCCAGTGGGTCAAGTGGACAAGGATCCAAAAAAAGAACGGTATTTATTACTATCCTCCAGAAGACATGTGCCAGTAATCACCGGTTCCTGAAGTAACTTAAAATAATACCTTTGATTTTTGTTTCTTCACCAGTTTCTTCTTCTTCTACTTCTTCAACATCATCCAAATCTTGATCAAGTTCAGACTGTTCTTTGCTACAATATCACAGTATCACACCAAGGTTCAAATGTACCAATTACAAAAAAAAAAAAAAAATTATAGTAGAAAAACTTCAATCCATTTTCTAGGTTAATATGCCTCTTTCAAAAATATGAAATAGGAAATCCAAAACGTAATTCAGTTTGCTTTCTAACTTCATTTGTAAACAAGTACAAATAGGAAGTACTTAAAATTTCATTTAAAAGCATATGGTCAAATATAAATTTTATACTTCAAGCTTTTAAAATGTGATTTGATAGGTTTTGGTTCAGAGGATGTGATGTCAGGAAGTACGTGCTTTCTACCCAGTATCTGTTGATTTCACTCTTCTTAGTAACAGCACTCTTGATTTTATACGGCAATACACCAAACTAAAAAGTCTCCATTTCCCAGCCTACCTTTTAGCTAAATGTAGCTATGTGACTATGTTTTGGCAGTGAGATAAAAAGCAGTAGTGTGAAACTTTGACGAAGCTTCCTTTATAGGATGGTAAACAGCTGGGAGGCCTTTTTGATCATGCTCGCTTCCTATAATAGGAATGTGATGGCTAGAACTCCAGCAGGAATGTTGGACCATAACAATCACAGAAAATGGAAGTCACTAGCTAAGAAAGAAGGAGTTTGAAAAAAGAGAAGGATTCTGGATCCCTGATGGCTGTCGAGTGACCACATCAGCCTGTACTCACTATCTTTGGACTTTCTTCCTTTTTCTTTACTTCATAATGGAGATACGGAAGAAAAGTAAAAGTTAAGAAGACCTGAGTCTACTTCATGCTTAGAGAAAAGCCAGAAGAATGGCACCAATGAAAGAGAAGATAAAAACTAATAAGTTAATATTCTTCCCATTTCATCTTAAAAATCTAGTTTTTGAACATGAGATTACAATCAGCATTAAAAGGGGAATAAGGATACCTAAGTCAATACACAGGTCACCATACAATTCCTTGTGTGATTTTACATTTTAATATTTGGTCTAAACAAAGCAAATTTTATTTTCATACAGGGATAAACACTATCTAATTTTCATATAGGAACAAGTACAAAAAAGGTCAACTGTATTCTGCTGGCAAAATTTATGTTCCTGTCAACTAAGAAAAAAAAAAAGCCTTCCCAGCAGAAACGATACAGATTATTTCTGGAGTATCTTTGACTTAATATTCACTTAAGCATACTTAGAGTTAAGGGCAGCCAACTAAAAACATGGAACAGCTCTTCCTCCAGTGTCATTTCATTCAATCATTTACTGAACATCTAAATCTTAATGCTTTACAACAAGGGTCCAGAAACTAGGTCACATGGTCAAATCCAGCTCACTAGTATTTTTGTAAATAAAGTTTTATTGGAACACAGCCCCATTAAGTCCTTTACGTATTGTCTATGGCTGCTTTTGCACTAAAACAGTAGAGCTGAGTAGCTGCAAGAGACCATATGGCCCAAGATGCCTAAAATATTTAGGATCAGGTCCTTTACAGAGAAAGTTTGCTGCTCCTGCTTTAAAGAATGAGAATACCCTCTTTGCTCTCACCCTCCCATGGCTCACAGGCATCCAAAATTTGAAAATGGAGGGGAGTGGGGGGGGGGGGGTCAAGCTATCACAGCCAACTAATTCTTTTTTCAAAGTTTAAAATAAAACAAGCATTTCAAGGTTAGGATGGTAGATTGCATACTCATCCAATCTTAATCCTTCCAAAATCCCCCCCTAGAATTATGATACAGGGGTTTTTAAACAAACACAGAAGGACAAGGAGATAAAAAGCAGCAACTTTACTGAGAACTGAAATCTAAGTTGGCAGAGGGGAAAGCTGAGAACCAGTCCAAACACAGAATCTTAAAAAGGACACTTCCAGAACCAAGGCTAGGGGATGAAGGTGGATAAAACAGGGAGTACTAAACAAAAACTGACAAGCAGTTAAATCCTCAGATCTTCTCCTTCATTCTGAACTATGACAGTTCCTTCTCTGGAAAGGGTTAAACTGAGAGCTCGGACTAGAGGACCACAGTTAGACAGGACAACATACACACTAGAATGCTGAATGTAGAGACCCCTTCCTAGCTGCCTTCTGCTCATCTGGCTCCTGGAATACCGGAAGCCGATCTTTACCCAAACACTCTTCCCTGAGGTATCTGATCAGCTCAGACAAAAATACCATTTTGACACCAGAGATTCTCACAACAAATGCCCATCCTGATGATTACATTAAAATTCTAAATTGACAAGCCTCCCTCTCCTCAACACTCAAATTTTCCAATCAAGTTTTTAAAAACATTCTTCAACTGTGCATTTCCCCCCACCCCAATCTTAATGAGCAAACAACCATGTATTGCCTCCTATTTGAGGAAAGCTCTTACATTGAGACCAAAACAAGGGAGGAAAAATAATTTAAGCACAAACAGACTATACAGGGGAAAGAAACATCCAGAGGAAAGATATTACAACCAATGAAATAAGAACAAGATGCTATAAAAACAGGAACAGAGAGCAAAGGAGCTCTTGAAAACTAAAACAATAGAAATTTAGAAACTCAATACAAGAGTTAAAAGATCAAGTTTCTTCAGCTTTGCCAGAAAGAAGAGCAAAGAGATAAAGACGGAAAATAGGACAAAAGGTAAATAGAAGAACCAGTCCAACATATAACATAACAGGAGCTCCAGAAAGAGAAAATGGAAACAAGACAATCAACAAAATAAGTCAAGAATTCCCCCCAAAAGTGAAAGCCATCGAGCTGCCAGACTGAAAAGGTCCACTACCAAACATCTAACACTAGGATAAAAAAAAAAAAACAGACCTAAGAATGTGAAAATTTCTGAACTCCGAAGCCAGAGCAGCTTCCAGAAATAGCTATCTATATATGTATATGTTTAAAAAAAGTGCCACATCCAAATGATCAAGAATTATAATGACTTTGGACTTCAACACAGCAACACTGCAAGGGGGATGACAATGGAGCAATGCCTTCAAAATTCTCAAGAAAAATGATTCCCAAATTAGAATTCTATACCCTATCTATCAAGCACAAGGGTAGAATAGTCATTTTCAGTCATGCCATATCTCAAAATAATTTACTTCCCTCATACTCTTCAAAGAAGGTCCTAAAGAACCAAAAAAAAAAAACAACATGGGATATAGCAAACAGCAAACCCAAGAGAGGAGAAACAAAAGGAAACCCCAGGAAGACAGTAAAATCAGATCCACAATGACAACAGTTTAACCAAGGTTAAGCAATTTAGATGGGAGCAGTGTGATTCAGGAGACAATCACTTTGAGAGCCATCATCACTAAAATGCCTGCTGCCATACTGAAGACAGCAGGCATAGGAGGATTGGCCAGTTTCTTATATGTACTGTCATGCTTAACGACAGGGATAGGTTCTGAGAAAAGCGTCATTAGGTGATTTCATCATTGTGTGAATATCAGAGTGTACTTACAAGAACCTGGATGGTATAGCCTACTACATGCCTAGGATTATACTAAGGTTAGTATCTTATGGGACCACTGTCATAAATGCAGTCTGTCGTTGACTGAAATGTCATTATGCGGCATGTGACTGTACTTGAACATGGTGCCCTGTGCTCGTTTCCTGCCCTCCCACCTCCATGCTCTGCTGCCTACTACAGCTGTGGATAGTCACATCATAGCCCCCCATCCCCATATTTAACCTACTGTTTAAACCTACTCCTGAGCTGGCAGGCTACTGAGAAATTACAATAGACAGCACGGCTCATCCCATTCTCCCTGACCATATTTCTGCAAGACATCCATCCACACTAGAACCCTGCCAGATGCCAACTTCATTAAACCTACATTTCCAGGATGCATGACCTTGTCCACTGACTTCTCCAAAATAAGCCCTTCTAAAAGTCTCCGGACAGCTGAAGCCAGACTATGACCCAAATAGTCTCTTTTGCTTTTTATTTTCCTTCCTTGGAACCCTCAACTAATAGTGGTAATATTCCTTTATTCTTTACACAGCTAAGTTTGTGACTGCCATTCAAATTTTCAAAATTAAACACTGATTAAGAGTCTGTAAGTGGTAAAACTCTAAATAAAAACAAAGAAATGAATTAGACAAAAGCCAAGATGGTGCTTTCACCTCTGGAGAGGTAAGGTGCAGGATGCAATCGAGAAGGGGCACACAGGGCTTCTAATGGTAATGCTTTATTTTTTAAACTTGTGTACAAGCGCCCTACTATTCTTTAAACTCTACATATACATCTTATACACTTTTTATCTTGTATGTATGATATATTACAATGTAAGCAGTAAAATCTTTGGGAAATACATATATGGTAAAAATGAATTCTGCAAGTATTTATGATTCATTATTGGGCTCAGCACTTTCCTAAGAATAAACACTGACAAATGGTTTACTATATTTATGACAGTGATTATATATACTATATTTTGTCTTGGATACACTGTACCCAACTTTTATAATAGTAGGTACGAAGCATTACTTATTACATACATTTTCATAATACATAATTAGTACTGCTGTTAACTATATCACAGTACAAAGTGATGCCAAATTGCTGAAAAAAGAACCAACTCTCTGCCACTTACTTGTCAATGTCTGCCATGTTGTAAGAACTCCAAATATCTATGGAGAGAAAGTCAATGTTAAAAAAAAAAAAAAGGCATATGATTTATTTAAAATCAATAAAGATATTTGAAGCCAAAATCCTTTAAATCAATACCACGTTGAAAACTATCCCAAGAAGAAATGTATACTCCCATTAAAAAAGCATCAGTGTTAAGAAAACTCACGGAACATACCGACTTTCACAGTAGTCACCAAAGTAACTTTCAGAGGATACTGCTTTAAAAAAGTAAGTTACTACTAGGCATTTAGAATCTATCGTGTTAAGGACTTTATTTATAGTACTGTTGGTAAAGAATCCGATGTACATTAGAATCACAGAAAAGGAACAATACAAAGGGTCTTTGTTCAAATCCCTTTAACAACCACGAATAGTCAATTTTTGCCTAAATTTTTAGGCTACTTAGTACCTCACAGAATAAACCCACTTCATTTTTAACAGTATTAATTTTTATCAAATTCATTAAAAAGCCAAAATCTGCCACCTACTGTACTCATTATGCAGCCCCCCCCCGAGATCTTCTTAAAAAAAGTTTAATAATCTTTGTATCAAATGTCAGCCTTTAAACTACTTAATAACAGTTATAAAGCTCTGGATCCCAACTATGTCAAGTAAACCTTCCCCATCTCTTCAAATATTCCTCATGTCACATCTCTGATAACCACCACTCACCCAGTCTACCCTGGATATGCTGGCACACTGTCAACAATCAGACAGACCTCAATACCACTAGAACTCAACCGAGTGTATCCTAAGTTCTTTCTCACTATAAGATTAGTATTACCTTAGAGAAAGTATTAGAAAGCCAAAAGTTAAGGTAAAATGTGTTACATTCAGGCAGGAAAACAGCTGAACGCCATAGGTAATGCACAAATTACTAAAAAAACAAAATTTAAATCAAGTTTAGAATCACACATTAAAATCAAGTTTTTATCTTTTAAAAATTAAAATATTACTCTCTAACTCACAAAATGGTACATGATTCCCATACTAACATGCTTAATATGCTTATTACTTAAAGAGTTAAGAGTTACTGAGTCAAGGGCTAATATTTCGAACAGTATTGCTGATGCAATATCCATCCTTGAGACAAATTATAGAGGAAGTATTTCTTCCTAATGTATCCTACTCTATTTTTAAATTTCTTCTATTTGCCTTAAATAATTCCTAATTGCACTGATAAATTTCTCTAGTGCTGCTGGGTAATTAGCCAGCATTAACAAAATCACATAGCAAAAAATATGAAGAAATATGAATTCAAAAATAAGAAAAATACTGAATCTTATTAACCAAAGAAATGCAAGTGGGATTCTAGTTTGTCTATCAAATCAGCAAGGATCTTCTTTTAATGCAGGGAAAATTGTAGTGAATATGCATGCTTAAGTATGGCTAGTGTTCCTATAAACTACCACCCTTCTGGAGAGCAATTTGGCCACAGGAATAGCAAAAGCCTTAAATATCTCCATCTCCAGTCTTAGTTATTCACTTACGAGAATCTATGATGAAAAAAATTATATGAAGAATCTAAGGGCCCATGCTTTTCATGTTCGCCTAAAATGTTCCTCCAAAAGCCTAGTTTTAACAAGTCCTATACACCCTTTGGCTCTCAGCTCAAAAGTTTTACTTCTTCAGAGATGCCTCCTCCAACCTGTACATTCTGGTTAAACAAAATTTCTTGGTTGTACACTCCTATAAAGCTCTATTTCTTTCTATCATAAGATGTCTCAAGTTTGTAGTTGTAAATTACTGTGATTATTTGACTAAGGTCTGTCTCCCCCAACTGATCAGATGACAAGATTCACGATTACAGGGATCACACCTCCTTTTGCCAATCACTGCCACTGTATCCTTCAGGGTAGTACACAAAGTGTGTGTGCGTGTGTGTATCTATATATACACATTTATAGATACACATACACATATGTCAGCTACAACTAATTACTTATCTCATCAAAAATAAACTTAGTATATACAGCAAGGAATGTGCATACAATGGAATGCTTTGCAGTCAAAAATGAAGCAGATCTCTGAGTTGACATGGAAAGAGCACCAAAGCAGGAGTCAAGGATGTATGATAAAATCCAATCTGGATATGAAATATATATATATGAATATGCATGCTCATATACCCACAAACTTTCTTATGAACAAAACATTTCTGGAAAGATACACCTGAAACCTAAGTTTTTACCTAAGTTTTACCAGTAGTTACCTATAAGAAAGACAAGACTGGGAGTAAATGAGAACTTATGCTTCATTCTGTATTATTTGGTTTTCCCATACACAGACACATACTTAATAATATTTTGGAATTTGCTGAGTTGAACACATAGTGTCTAGTAAACCCAGCAACTATCAAAAATACAAAACAAAAAATCTCCCGAAACTTCTAAATTCAAATTTTTATAACATTTTAACATGTTCACAGAAGAACGGGTACACTGCTACTCTCAGTGTCCACTTCGTGGCATTACATTTAGAATTCAGACTCCTACAATGCAATTCTCTTGATTCTTTATTAAAGAGGATTCTAGCAGAACAGGATAGCATTTACTTCTTCAGAGATGCCCTCTCCAATCTGCCCATCCCGGCTAAATCAGATTTCTTGGTTGTACACACTTTCGTTGTTTAAAGTAGGCCTAATTTCGTAGTCAGATCACTTGGTTTGACACCAGCTTTGTAGCAATCTAGCTCAGGCAAACAACTTCTGGCCTTATTTCATCATCTACAAAAAGTAGGGAAAAATTGTTCCCTCACTGGATTGTTCTTATTAAGAAAGAAATTCACGTAAAAGACTTAACTTGTGTTGACACCTATTAAATACTCAATAAACAAAAGCTATTTTTTCATTCTGTCCATTTTGCTATCATAGGGTCTGTGTTTCTGCAAAATAATCAGCTGAGTTGCTAATGTTAAGATGTCAGCATTAGAGGAAACGGGTAAGGGGCATATGGGAACTCTCCAAACTACCTCTATGCCTTTCCTGTAAATCGAAAATTACAAGTAAGTTTACTTAAAAAAAAAGAGAGTCCCATAACCAGACACTGAACCAACAGGTCTGAGGAAGTGGACCCAAAAATCTGCGTACTAAACAAGAAACCTTGTTTCTGAGGCAAGCAGTCTCACAAAATCAGATCTTACTGAGAAACACAGGTTTAGGTTAACATCTACATTTATTTTTTTACTGTAGTCAACAACATTAAATAAAATCAATGAGAACTTTATTTATCAGACATGAAATTGCTTTCTACGAAATCTGAAGAATTTCCATTCCTGGTAGTGACAAGCTAGATTATGCAGACCAACTCTACCGATAAAAAATAATTGAAAGTACAGAATAAAATATTTGTTAAAATCTTCAAAGTATGGAAAATGCTAACAACATAGTAAGGAATTACTGACCCAAAAACGAAGGCAAAACAAGAAGCAAAAGACTAAGCAGAAGGAAGCCACTTTTGCCTTGAGGGCAACTGCCAATATCAAATGTGACCTCCTGGGGGGTGAAATCAAAAGCCCTGGGCCTATCCAGGGTGGGGAATCTCTATAGCAACCCTCCCAAATTAGGCAGGAACCCCAAAGTGCTATATTCTCAGGGATAATAAACCAGTATTACTGGAGAAAACCCCAAATTCACCTCATCAGTGTTGCCCCCAAAACCCCAAGCTATGACTTAGAGTGTTCTGTCTGCTAGTATTCCTAGGCACCTGCATATCCAAATGTAAGTGAAAGGCACCTTCATCCTAGACCTCAAATAATTCCATACAAGTAATTTTCAAGACCAAGAGGAGCAAGAGAAAAGAATACAACAGAAACCAGCCCTACAAAGACTTAAATATTGTCAAAAAGACTACAGACAAACTTATAACTACAAACAGAGACAAAAACAACCATGCTTGCTACGTTTGAAAACAGTGTCTGCAGCAGTATCTGCAAGGAACAGTCATCTATTAAAGGCAATACAGCAAATTTGGCAAAGAACTAAATAAAACTTCTAGAAATAAAAATAATGGAAATCAAACTAAACACACAAGTTTAACAGTAGACTAAACACAGCTAGAGAGAGAATTAGGTGAGCTGGAAGCAAGCTTAGAAGAAATCTTCCAAAATATGCAGACACTAAAGGATGGAAAATACTTCTAACAAAGTTAGAAGACATTTTAGGACTCAATAAAGTGTAACAATGATTTAATACAAGTTTTAGGAGTAGAGAAGAGAATAGGCAGAATATTTAAAGAAATTGACAGCTAAAAATTTTCTAGAACTAATGTAAGATAGCTCTACAAATCTCAATTAGGATAAATAAAAAAGAAATCCACTTAGACACAGCAGTGAAAAGGGAAGACACCGAAGACAGAAGTTATCACAAAAGCAGAGAAAAGACTTAGATTAACTTCAAGGACACAAAAGACTGACAGCTGTTTTCTCTTCAGTAATAGACACCAAGAGACAACAGAATATGCTGTAGTGCTTAATGTGTTGAAAATAACAAGGATCTTACAATACTATACCCAACCAAAACATCCTTTTAGAACGAAGGTGAAACAGACACTTTCAGGCAAAAATATCTCCAGCACTCTCACTAGAAAACTCTGTAAGCATATTCTTCTCGAAGAAGGCAAGTGATCCCAGATGGAAGGTCTAAGATACAAGAACAAATGAGGTGCAAAAAGGATATATCTAAATAAATATTTTAAAAGAAATATCACCACTGTGTGTTAGAAAATGTAAACTACCACAACATTAAGTCAGTGGAGAGGATAAGAGGGGACAACATGGATTAAAATATTCTAAAGTTCTTAAGTATACATGTTCTAATTTCCAAAAGATTGGAAACCGAACATATAACTTCCAAAGTTGAAGAAAAACCATTAAAATATTTTTTTCATCAACCTAAAAGAAAAATAGGTTGGACAAATGGAAAGCACAAAAAAAATCAGACTTAAACCACAGTAATTACATTAAATGTAAATCTACTAAAGGCTCCCATTAAAAACTGTCA